AGATACATTTATACAGCACCACCAAATCATTAAACATATAAGGGCCATGTGCTTTTTCTCATTTCTGATGACTGGTCCACTGTGCCCAAGGTTTCTCAGCACATGCTGATAGGCCCTGTTCAGCATGGGTTCATTGCTATCCAGTGTTACTTTAGACTAACTTTTTTGACTTTTTTTTTGAAATTTTGTGAATTTGTATTTATATATATATATATATATATAATATATATATATAAATATATATTTTTTTTTTACATTCCCGTCTTAAAATTGTACTGACAGAGATCCTCACATTTGATATATTTTTTTCATAAGGGAAAAGGCAAAATCTAGTGAAATTTTGGGAAGGAGGCTAGAGCAAAGAGTGCTTACTTTTATATATAGCAAAAGAACTGGTGGAATTGAATAGCTGAAAGTGAGTGTGCATAATTCATTTGCTATGGAATACTTACTGGCAAGCCAATACAGCAAAGTTTAATTTATAAAGTTATAAAGTAGCAGGAAAAACTTGACCGATTTCTAAAATACATTATAGTGGAATCAGTCCTGCAGAACCTTGGTCTGTAAGGCGGCTTTCTGATTATTATATTCCATTCTATTMTATTATATTATATTCTAATTATATTCCATGGAAAAAAAAAATGGTATTTCCTATTTTTTTTTTCCATGGAATATAATTTCAAGAAAGGAAAGCAATCCAGAATCAAAACAGCTTGAGTTTGTTCTGATGCTACTGACATTAGCTGTGAGAAAATATAAACTTTAGCAGAGCATTCCAGGATCACGGGAGTTTTATAAATTTCAAGTCACCTGGAATTATGTAAAACATAACAGTGCAGTATGTTTAAAGTTTTCTTTTTATACAGAGGCTTCTACATGGAAAATCATTAAATACCTTTACAAATTGTCTTTTTACACAGAAGTTTTCATTCAGAAATGAAAAGCTTGAGTGGCTAGGTAGATAAATATATTTGAAAGGAGAAAAATAAATAATTCTGGATGTTTCATTTGGATTTTTAACATTTGTATAGTTTGTCAGAAAAAAAATGTCTAAAATTTTATCCTGAAATACTCAAATATGAAGAAAAAGATTCAGTTATCTTATGAAAGGGGAATTTTCAATTCGGAGTTCCTTGGAGCAGTGGATATCCTGTCATCATGGGGTTGCGGTACTGAGTTCAGAAAGGGCTTCTGGGCAGAGGAGCAGTGGTGGAAAAGCCAGGAGGCAGCTGGGTGGTACCAAAACTCAAAATCACACAGCTTCTCCTCTGAGCTTCTCCATACATGCACCTCATAAAAGCTTTTAGCTCTTAAGTTTTATCAGTAAGTTTCCTATATCATGACATTGGTCTTTAATGTACTGGTAAATTCTGAACTAAAGCAAAAAAAAAAATGGTTCTGCCTAGATTTTCACAGATAACGTGCTATGAAGAATTAGTGGGCAAAATGGTAATTCCTTCCCACTTCCTATGAATTAATTAAAATATCACATCAGAATTTCCATTCATTTATTAGAAAGACTGTCTATGTAGATATATAGGCCTGTGTTCCCTCTTGCTTTACCTCCATCTGCACAGACTTTTCTGTGCAGAGGTAGTAACAATCCTTCCCAGCTGATCCATTTTACTTGATTTTCAGATACTAATTTTACTTCATATTCCCTCTAGTCAGCAATAGATACAATTTCTGTGTTTGCTTTGGTGTATTTTTCAGGAAGACATAACTAAYTGTAGAAAACCTTTTCCACTGTTACAGCTTCAAATAATTTTACCTGGCTTTTTTTTCTGTGTAAACCTTTATTTTATTTAACATATGGTGCCTTTAACAAATAAGTCAGTTTTGGTTTTCCAAGAGCAAATAACTTCTGCTGGAATATTATTACAGGATCTTCTTCAGCATGATGTTCAGCTGGTTGTTAGTTGCCAGATGTGACACCCAGGAATACAGGATCATGTAGAATAATTCCCGGCAGGAGGACCCTGCTCCATGGAGACCTCAGTCCCCACACAACTTAGCCCAGTACCTGTCCTTGATCCCCACATTCATCTAAACATAATCCACTCCTCCAGTGAAAATGTACTGGAGACACCTAGTTTGAGAAGATTAATCTTATTTCCTTGGTATATAGAACTTTTGAGTCATCACCACTACTTGTTTGAGGAGTATTAAAGGTAAGCATCTTAGTTGTAGCTACACACCCACACCAAAGTTTTTATATAAGATTATAATTAGCATAAGAAAACCTGGTGCATATTTGTAGAGCAGGTGCAAGTGATGTCTCATCTCTTCCTGAACAAAAGGTTAATATATTCCCACAAGTAATTTAAAYTAAATCACCTAATCTTATTGCTAAAAATGATGTGATTGTAAATTTATATAAATGAAAGTTAGGAAGATTCAGATAAATGCACTGTAATTATTAGATAATATTCAAAAAGAGCCAGGAAGATTTTTCTTTTTTTCTTCTTTTTTTAAAGAAAATTTACACCACTAACTAGTAGCAATTAATTTGCACACACTGCATTAATTTAAGACTTAATTATGTTGTAAAGTTTAAGCTGAAGTATGTATGGCACATGCAGTGTAGGAGTGTGATGTAACAAGAACTGTAGCTCATGTTTTGACTTGTGGATTTAAAATCTAAGTGGATTTGATGTAAATGCAAATCCAGAGGATCTAAGTTTTATGACATGAAACTCTGTTGTGGAAAGGGAAAATAGCAACTAAGTATAGAGTATGAATGGTATTGGTAGCCCTAGATGTATTGTACAAATTTTATTACCTCYGTTAAAATTTTTTCAAGTATGTATTTAATGATAAGTGATTAATTATTATATTGAAAAGTACGGACACTGTGGTAAACATTTCTTAGCAAATGGTCACCATGAAGAGACAAGATGTGAAATGTGCCTGGGTAATAAAACACRTGTGTGTGGGCACGCGCTCAAACACAGCAAAGGTGAAGAACTGCTTGGGAATTTAACCTTACTGAAGAGTTTGCCTGTTGTGGATGTCTCCTGTGTGGAGATTTTCCTGTCCTGTGAGGAAAAGAGCTTTGCAGTTAAAGGCTCATCAAGCCATCAGTGGATTGCTTCATTCCACAAAGAGGACAGGGTGACAAGGTGGACAGATAAAAACATGACAGAGTAAAGGAACCAGCAGGCCAGCCTGGGTGTCCTCATGCACTTGGTGATGGTGGCCCAGGTGTTCGTTCCCCAACAAGGGCAGGCTGGACACTAAAATGGGAGGGATGAAGTTCTGCCAACCATCGGTGCCCTGCTGCACTTTGCCRTGGGCTTGAGGAAGCCTTGAGGGGTGAAGCAGTGAGGGGATCAGTTTTGCTGAGATCTTAGTTACTGTATATTTACTAAGAGGAGGCATTTATACTCTCTTCATAAGCCTTTGTGAAAGACAGAAATTTCAAAATTTTGCTAGAAATCTTTTGTTTGATAGATTTTTGTTCYATTCTGTTTTTTACTCTCCTTAGAAACAAAACATTCTGAAATTCTTTTGCAAAGAAAGATTTTATTTAGACCTGATTTCACAGAGTACTTCTAATTGAATAGAGCTATAAATTCTAACAGAAATTAGTTCTATCAAGGTTTCTCTAGYACTTTTTGCTACACTCATTCGAAGACAGACTTAGGCATTTGTGAATGTGGAGAAAAAATATTGGTTGTATGATCCTCTGAGATATGTAAACTGGCATTGGCTTTAAAAAGTAAATGAAACTATGAAAAGCTAATCCAGTCAGCCGTTGAGACCAGATATAAAAATAGGCTCAAGCTTATATTACTTTCTGTGCATAAATGCAATATGTATACAAATATATAGAAGCTGGCATAGATTAAAAAAAAGATTTAGCTGTGCTATAATTAATAAGCTTTTCTTAACATGACAGAGATTAGTTATGTTAGTGTATTTAATCTTTAAACTCTCTAGGCATTAATATCTCCTAAGTATGATTTACATGCACAGAGAATCCATTAGGCAAGGAAGTGGAACAGGCTGCTTTGATCACTAGTGTGAGGTAGTGATTACAAGGCAAGAAGGCCAAGGGTGTAAGATGCGTGCTGGAGATTTTAAAACCTAAAGGGAAGGCATTAGTTGCTGCGGTGTAATTTATAAAGCTGTACACAATGCTACTTTYTTCTGAATAATAGTACAGAGAGAATGATTTTCCCTCTTTCTTGGGGTGATTTTCACAAAGGTTTGAGCTTCACAATAAGAATCAAATGTAATTACCTGTACTGTAGTAAAGCTCTTTGATTGGGTATTGCTTAAAAGCTATTAAATTATGCATAATCCAGCAATTTAACTTATTTGCCAATCAAAAGGAATACTTCAACTGTATTTGTTATAAACTTCACTTAAGATGCTTTTCTGTGTTAAGCAATGCTATGTAACTTTCTATAATTAATTTTTGATTAGAACGTCTTAGTTCTGGGGTTTGCTAAAGCTTCCTTGTTCCTAGGCTGCCAGAGCAATGGGAGGATTCACGTCATACAAGAAATCTTCTCAATAGTGTAGAACTGAATATATCGTTTTCTTCTCCAGAATTAATGCCGAATGGGAATATGACTACGGTCACCTTTCTAACATTTCCTGTAGCAGGAACTAACTTTCCTTTAACAAACAGTCCTTCCATTAAATAAAACAAACAAAAACTCCAACAAGAGCAAACAAATAAACAAAATCCCTTTTTGCCTGCTTACATTGAACGCTGACTGTCAGAATGGATAAAGTTTGTGGAATTTCCATCTTCAAAAATGTTCAAAATTCGGCTAGACAAGGCCAACATTTGAGCTACTTTTGATCAGGATGTTAAACTATTGACACCCTGCCATCCTTTCTGGCCCTTTCTATGACCTAGCCCAAAGAAATCACCTCTTGGGTTTTTTAGTGAGAAGCAGTGAGATATTCTTCCTTCCTTGTTAGTTTCCTCTCTCTATTTTTGACAATTATGGAAATTAACACTTTGTTATCTTTTTTTTTTTCAGGTTTTTCTGCAGCATGCACTTGCTGTAGCAAAAGTTGATAGCTAAGCTGGAATCTCCATTAAGGGGAAAAATTGTCAGGCATGGTAATCTTTTGAACTGGGAAAACAGGTAAAGATCCCTTAAAATCTCTGCTTTAGAAGAGCTTGCTTCCTTAAATACAGACAAAACTCTCTTTGGGAGCTTTCTTTAAACTTTCTCTACGAAATATGTTCTCCGTTTCTCCAAAAGGAATCATGGCAAATCATGAGCAGCACAGACTTAAAATTCAGAAAGGCTCTGTCAGCTGCAGTTAGGATGTCCTTGCTTTAGACATACTGCAGAAGGTATCTGCTGCCCCCTTCAGGATTAGAGAAAATATTAATTTTTAATCACTAATTCATAGCACTTTATTCCTTTGCACTTTTTTTTCCATGAGGAGGGAAAGAGCCCTAAGAACCATAGCGATTGTTAAGTAAGCAGTTGTTACTGTTTGATGCTAAGTGCAATAGTCAAAACTGAGAAAAAGGCCTTGGAACCAAGGCTGGGGACTAGGATATGGGAAACAGGGAAAGCAAATCAAGTTTCTGGACTGTATTTATGAAGTTCTGGTTAAGTCAGTCCAACTGTGAGTCAGGCCTTCCTATGCAAAATAGAACTGACACCTGTCTCACCCTTCATCTTCATTTCGGTCCAGAAGAAGCTTCTGTAGGAAAGCCCAAAGTCAGATCTCTAAAGTACTTCTCTGCCTAATGCCTATTTAGGGAATAATGCAATTAGATTTATATGCCTGAGGACACTTGTGTGTATAGGCACCGCACAGTGCCTATATGTTCAGTGTATGGAGCAAGAACAGCTCCCTCATCTCAGGTGAAGTTTAGTATTGCTTTCAAAAAGAACTAACAGCAAGAGGTTGGTACAATGTAGACCCATCAATAAACTAACAAAATCAATGTTTTGTTTCACATCTGCTCATGCAGTCTGCCATAGGCTTGTACTGCACAAAGAAGCATAAACAGTTTCTGTAAAAATAAATAAAAACTCTTAATTGCAGGTCTCTGCTACCTTGCATCTCTCATTATGCTTTCCCTGGAAGCTGTCAAAATTCCYTCTATATGTATAAAGTCTTCATTTGTAAGATGTAGTTGTAACTCTCAAATGCACAAGCATATCCTTTATGTCTCCATGCTGTTATTTCTTGTGGGTTTTCCTTCTCCCCCTTTTTAAGATAGGAGAGCAAAGATTCTAATAGTTCTGCTCTGTTATTCAAATAAATAATTTATGACTTTCATGCAGTAACATTCTGGTTAATCCTATTGCTACTTGTAACGCAGAACTGACGTGTTAGATACTGACTACATGGAGGCATCCCTTAAAGGATAAAGCTATTGGAACAAAGTTAGTATGTTATGTGTGGGATGTAACACGGTATATTTTAAAGTCTGTGTTTAGGAGATAAGAATTGATTTAAAACAACAAYAACAACAACAAAACAGACTGTTTTAAGCATTTACTGTTCTTAGTGCGTGGAGGTAAAGAAATGACATTTATGCAAAGTTACTTTGTACCAGTCTTCAAGTTTATTAAGATAAACTGCTGAGAAGAGCAAAAATAAATATCAGGTTTTCATATAGCGATAGGGCTTTATTGTTTTCCTCACAATTTAAGCAAAATGATTACAGAAGATGAACAGAAATACAGATTTGATGGCATACATACATAAAGGATCCCAAGGAATGAAACCTACGTACTTTGAAAGGGAGTGGGTTTTTTTTTTTTTTTTTTGACACTGAAATAGTAATTTTCTACTTTGGTGAATCTAAACTCCTAAATCTCCTACTTGATGCTCTCAGATGCCCCAAAACATGCATTTATTCTATTTGCTGTCCTGTCTGTACTCATTTTGCTGTTAACAGTGAAAAGAAAAAAAAGAAAAACTTCCAATTTTACACACCCCAGATTAACAGCATGCCAAAGGAAAATTAGAAATCATCCTTGAAGTCAAATTGAAATCAAACAGATACGACAGAAGAATCCTCCTGTTCACTGGCATATTACAATCCACTGAAAAGTAGTGCAATACATCACTGAGGTATGTTGAGTTTTGCTTTTGTTACGTCGTTTGTTTTTTCAAACCCTACAAATTTGAGTTTATCATTCCCATTCCTTGGCACTCAATGATGTAAGCATCTTTACTAGGATCTTCCTCTTCTGATTTCGTTACAGTAAATTTGGCCTAGAACAAATAAGATTTAAAATATTTGTCACTAAACATGTCATAGTATACATATAATTTACACGTTATATATAAAAATATATAAATAATATATATATAAAAAACACGTACAAATCATCAATATCTATTGTCTGATAATCTATTTATAGTCTGGGCATTTTGAGAGATTTAACTGATCTCATTAAAAACATTTTAAATGAAAGTGGTAAAGGAATCTACCCACTCTAAAAGAATTTAACAATAAAAYGTTCACTTTCTATTAGTAAACTCCCATATAAAAATTGTAGCAATTATTTTATCACTGCTTGTCCTGCATAGGGAAAGCTCATTCCACAAATACTGCTAAAATGGACMTGAGTCTATACAACTCACACTTCCTAGTACACATGATGACAACTGATTGGCAGAACTTCCTCAAGTTTTGGACTCACCTTTGTTAGCTGCTCTGCAAAGTGTATAGCAGTTTGAGTATGAAGTGTAACTGGTCCACTTTTCACTTTGGACACYCCCTTTGCTAATGCCATAAAAATGATCAGCTAAAAGAATAAAGGTAATTCTTTAATAACTGTACACAGCAAAATCAAGAAAAAAAAAAAAAAAAGTGAAACAAAAACATGCAAAACCTCTGTAAATGAAAATATGGTTCTAAACAGTGAGATTGTGCTGAGTAGTCCACAACTGATGTAGGMCCCTGCACTTCACTGTTAAAATTTCACAAAAGTACTTGGTACTGAGTATTAAGAATGATCCAAGATTCAAGAAGCTTGGGAACTACTACCATTGTAACTACCGCTGGTCCATCACAGAAGGGACACTACTTATCCACTGTCAAGTTTGTGTCTGAATTGCTGTATAGGATAGTGTGTCTGTGTGTTATGGGTGTGTATTTGGGGTGTCTTTATTCTTAAATGTAGTTAGGTGAGGAAGTCAAACAGGAACACCTACTGGACATTTTCTCTAATGGCCTCTCTTAATTTAGTCTTTAGCATATGGGAAGAGAACTCTCTTCTTCCTCTGCYGTATGGCATGGTTTCAGAAATAGCAAGTGCTGAGTAGGAGGGAATTACTACAGTTTAAATTTAGAAATCTTCTTCCTATTTTTCCACTGTTCGGATTTGAATTCTTTACAAATAATACATCTATTCATGTCCTTGCTGTAGTTCAACTTCATCTAAGGCTATACAGGAGCCTTACTTGGTCTTGCAGAGAGTCATCCACAGCGCCACCATGTTTAAGATTTTTAAGCAGCATCTCTGCAGCTTCAATGCCAACTTTGTCAGAATTCTTTCCTAGAAGAGAAAGAAATCCACATGATTAAGATATGTCCAATTATTATTATTATTATTATTTAATGGGTAAAAAATACAGAAAATCAAGGAGTGACAAATAACCTGTTAAATTTGATTTTCATACTCTTGCCTTCAGCGACCCCATGTAAAAAAAAGTCTTCTCTTATGATGTATAGTTCATACTCCCTAAGCAGAGGCCTGTAGTCTCACATGCACTTAGATTTTACTCAAACCAATTACAGTTAAAACCCCGTCTATACCTTTTAATCTAGGCATAAAACTAAACTGAGAATTCTTTTCAACTTGGTGATCTTAGCAATCCATACAGATAAAAGGTGAGTTTAAGAACTTGGTAAATTTTGACTATGCAAAGGCAGCTTAGAAATCAGAGTCTAAAATCCTATTAAACAAAATCAAAATCTGCTGATTTTCACTGTCCTTTATTATTGAGTAACATCCAATTAAAATGAAACTCAATCATAACTTTGGATAGATAATATTTGAGATTCATTAATAGTACATTAAGTTAACCCTGAAACCAGTGTACTTCACATGACTCTTACCTCTCTTGCCAAGTGACGACCCAGCTAACAAACAGCCTGTTGAAGTCTCTGCTACAATGCTAAACACAAAAAACAGAATCCATATTAAAAGTAGGTAATTATTCATGCTACATCTTATTTATAAGAAAAGTAATCATGAGATTAAAATTCTCTGCTTAAAAACAAAATACATTAATGTCACTGTCCTCCTGCAAATGCCCCCATGTCAGGTGTCATTACTGTCCTGTTCTGTTGCAGATCAAGAATTCAGTGAATGGCAGTGTTTGTGAGATATTAACAAAGCCAAAAACAGTCTTTTACACTTTTCAGATTTGATTATTTAGATACTTATATTAAAAAAGGCTAAATCTTCTTAACATGTTGTTATTACACATTTATAGAATAGCTTCCCTTTTTGAACATGTTGGGGATTTTGAAATGTCTTAATATATATTCTTGCTTAAGAAAAAGAAATGACTTTTTTTGACTACTGGTGGGTCTTGAGAAGATGTAGCTAATGAGGTAGCAACTCTACAAGACAGGTATTAATAGAAAGTTTTGGTTCATCTTACATTATTCCACTTCCAGTCCCAACAGCCTGATCRTCAGGTTCTCGAACTGATTGAATGTTAATGTAAAGATCCCTGATTTCTTTTCTGATGCATCTCACTGCTGCTGCTGCCATGTCTTTTGCCAGCTATCAAGGTAAGAGAAAAAAAACTTAAGTTATACTATCATGATAATACTTTTTCCTCATAAGCCTAATTATTATCATAGGATCCTTTATAAAGTCTCTTCTGAGAATTTCCCCAATGGTGTTAAGGTAATATGAAATACTAAATAACTGATAGTTTATAGTGCTGACTGTAGTTGCTGTAGTGAATTATAGTGATGTACACAGAAGCTTTAATACTAATAGAATTTCAAGACTTTCTTTTCCCTATACCTATGGATAGAGATTTAATTTTAGCTTTACTTCAAGATATTAAATTGTAAGAAAGTGATTATGTATAGGATATATTCTGTACGTCATAATATATAAAATAACAATTTTAGATTGTAGGCAGCTGAGAGCCAATTAAGTTTCTCAAAAGGGGGATCCAATAGGAGAAAGAGATCCTAGTCCATATGCATAGTTTTGGAGATTTTTAACACCAAAACCAAGGATCTTCAAAAAAGTAACTATCTTCTCTCCCTTCCTCAAATGCTTCTACCCTGTGCGTGTGAGAACAAACTCTGAGGTGATCCAGTCACTCATTCCTGTAAATATAGACAGGATAGGAACAACAGAAAGCAGATGTGAAAGGAAGCAAATTCATTTTTGTTTTGTATTTGCCTAATCTATGCTTAACTTGTTTGTCTGGTGGCCTTAGAAATGGTTGAAATGTCTGATTTAATCTGATATCTGAATATTGCTAGTGCACTTCTATGCACAATTTCAGATTTAAGATAATTCACGCAAATATGAGTTAYACTTAAATCAGATTTAAAATGTCCCAAAATCTATGGTAAAATTTTCCCAATAGGGAAATTTTACGGGCATCATTCTCATTCCCTGTTTTAGGTGCTACCATAATGTTAGGCAAACTTCGGGTTATTTTATGGCCTGAAAAAAATGAGTATCTTCAAGAAGGTTCCTTTGGTTTCTATGTGAAAGTGCTTAATACAAGAGCAACAAGGATATGTTATGCACATTACATATAATTCAAATATTTGTAATATACATACACACATAGGAAAGTTGGATGCTTCCAGAGTTATCATCAGTACTCACTTTTATAGGCAGAGCTCCAGCAACAAATGCTCTTCCATATATCTTGGTCACAGTGCCACGTTCTGTGAGGTTTATTGGGCTCAACTCTTTGACTGGTGACATTTGGACTACAACTTCACCACCTCCTTGGGGATAGTAGCCCCTGTTTAGAAATAATAATCAGACATAAGTAAATGTGAAGATAAGAAAGTAGCAAAAATGCTTCACATATTTTATTACACATTTTATATTCTCAGGAACTACATATATGAACTTTGCTCATGTGTGTCTTTGAAGTATTTCTATCAGAAATATGTTCTTTAACAGGATTAGCTGCCTAAAAATAGCTTAATGCATTTCTTCTTTTCTACAACTTGACAGTTTATTATTTCTGTTGAGACATACCTAAATGCAAACCTCGGAGGCAGGAAATAAGGGTCTTATATAGGTAGTGTCATAAAGAACATGTTGTTGTGAGTGTCATTAATTTCCTCATGATTGGTTTCCTCACGATACCCCCTATTACACCACCAGCTGCTTCACTGTCCTTTTGCATTTCTTCTGGGCTTTGAAAGGGAGCCCAAAATATTTTGTTGGGTGCCTGGACTCTCTACAAGTGCAGGAGGATACACGTAACTGCCAACTCAAAAAGCTCTGCAATGGAGCTTGCTCAGCATGTGCTTCCCTCTGAGGTAGCCAATAGGAAATACCAAAACACAAGCTGGAGATGCAGCAATGGAAAAAGGCAGGAAAGAGCTAAACCACATTCATCATGGGGTGGCAATACACTTGGAAATGCTAATGCAAATGAATTATTGTATTACAAGTTCATCCTTTGTCTTAATTCAGGACACCTTGTAATGTGCCCATGTGATCAGGCAGTGGCTCCGTAAGGCCCATTTTTGCCACATGATTCTTCAGCTCACCTCTTTCTTATGTCACAATTGAACGTGAAATTGAACTTTTCAACAATTGGCTTGAAAACCTGAAAAATAAAAACATATATAAACACAGACTGAATGCAGTCAATATTCTGGATTTACCACTTCCCACCATTCTATTCAGTCTTCATAAAGGAATAAAAACAAAGAGATGTTCAACAAAAATATTACAGGTACATGATTAAAAAATTGTGTGTGTGTTTGTGTGTGTGTATATATATATCATATATATATATATATCAGTCCTATGCATACAGCTTATTTTAGGCTTTTTATTCTGAATGTAAMCTTATGTTAAAGGATTCTTAGGTGGGAAGAAGAAGAAAAAATCCTACAGAATTTCAGGAAAAAAAGAATCTATTTTAAGTGAAATTATCTTTAGTAATTAAAACCAACAGAAAGCTGTTGTTTCAGGCAACTCTGAGAGGCACGGATTGCTCTTAAATATAATACATTAATAGTGTAATATTTCCATGCCAAACAGATTGGTGTTCACTTCAGCAGTTTACCAAGTAAATATTTAATTTCACAGTTTAAATTTCAAATAAAATTACAGTAAGAGCAACAAAAGTACAATAGCCACAGTGCATACATATGTATGAAAGATGCATCAAGCCAAAGAAACTTCCCTACCATGAGTGTGTAGTCTATCTGAGGAGCCATCTCAGCATTAGTCCCACCTTTTAAATGAAGTTCTGATGGGGAAGCAGCAAACAGCACACAGGGCATTGCTACCTGCATCAGTAGGCACACGCTCCTAGAAATAATCACAGTATTCTCAAGTGTCACATTGCCATAATCCACATGGAACTGCGAGGTATCAAACGCAAATGGTGAGATATGTAAGCATCTACCTTTTATCTATTAAGTAAAATTGGTACTTTTAAAAAATACTGATTTAAAACTCTTAAATGCTCATAGCAAGACTAATACAAAACATTTCTTTCTACAGTAGCTGCATCTTTAAAATTTTCTAAGTTAATTCTAAATTAAGTATATTTTTGCTACACAATTTTATTGTTGAATCCTTGCATATTCCATAGGTAATAAAGCCTCCCTGTCAAATTGATGTGCAATTACTAATCCTTCTGCAATGTTGCCTTTTTGTGTCATGTTTAAGTAAAAGGCAGTAACCTGTTTGTTTATGCAAAGAGAGAGACGGAGAACAGTGGACAGACTATGTCTCCCCTTCTGAAAGATGAGTATCGCGTCCCCCTACCACACGCTCAAAGTCGACCCTATTATTGTAACTAATTCAATATTTTATTGAGCAGACTACCCGCAAATGTAGCGGTTTGTATGTTTTGCCATGGTTCCGAGGCAGGCAGGGGGGCAGCAGACGTACCCTGCTGTTTTGGTGTCCGCCAGGTGGGTTCCACCCTTGATCTTCCCGGGGGTGAAGGTGATTTCCGTGGAGCCGATCTCTCCTCCCTCCAGCTTCCCCTCGCACAAATCCCGGATCATCTCCAGGCCCATCAGATGCTGAGGCCTTCAAGTCATTAAAGACACGTGCAAGTAGCAGTATTCTCATTACATTGAAAAGAATTACTAAATGTTAGTAATTACATGGAGAAGAATTAACTAAATGTTAATGTTATGATTGCCCCATTCAGGCCAAATAAGCTTCAGAAACTCAATCTTGCCCCAGGAGTATTTCTCTTATATATTATTAAATATATATTAGAATTATATTAAAATTATATATGATTATAGCAGAATTTCTTATACCACTATTTTCTTTCATATGCTATTATGATACTGTTTTTTAGTCCTTCTCCTCAGWTCACGGGCACCAAGGGACGAGCATCTGTTCGTTTATCTGTTGCAGGGGACCGGGGTCGCTGCTGCTCCCGTGTCACCWGAGCCGTGTCCTTTCCATGAGGACGAGGATGCTCCGCAAGGTAAAAAAAATCACCCAACGGCCTCCACCTTTCTCTGCCTTAAGGGCTACCAGTCTGACAGYGATGCTCGCTGCTCCGTTACGTTATTTATTGATTTGCTTTTCGCATCTCCTCCCGCCCGCTCGCGTTACCTGAGGCCGGGCTGGCTGCGGCCGGCGCGGATCCTGCGCACGCGCAGCGGCAGCCCGCGCAGGACGCTCAGCGCCGTGGCCACGCGCAGGATCTGCCCGCCCTGCGGGGAGAAAGAGCCGCTCAGGCGGCGCCGCCCGCGCGCGCTCCCGCCGCCCGGCCCGGCCCGGCCCGCGCTCACCCCCTCCATGACGCCGCCGTCTATGTCCACCCGGTCGCCGTCCATGGCGGGCGGCGGGACGAGGCGCGTCCCGCGGGGAGCAGCGCGCCCGCGCCGGGCAGCGCAGGCGGCGAGGGCGCG